ATTTTCCTCTATCCGAACTCAGCATTTTAATGTTTTTGAACCACTCCGGTGCCGATCACGAGCGGTCCGAACGATCTTGCTGGCGTGCCAATCAAAGCGTACACGTCCCTCTTGGGTATTCAGCATACTATGTCCAGCAAATGTTCGTGCGTGTTCACCGCACAAAGATTGTATTGTATGGCGCGCCGTAGCCCTCCCACGGTCGACATAGCGGGCAGAGCGGGGCAGAAACTGCCGCCACGGGCTCCGAATAAGGAGTGCGTGCAGCCCGCATATGTGTGTGTGGACGTTACGCGGTGGGCGCGAGGTGGCGAGGGTGTGGAGGTCGGGTCGGGAGCCACCTGGGGAGGATTAGATGCGCATTCTGGGACCCTTCCTGGAGACACTCGCTCCACTCGTGCGTCGACGCTGCGTCTAACTTCCGTCGATTTGAACCGACTTCGGATCGAACCTGGATCGAACGTGGGCCGAAATTGCGTCGATCTGGGGTCGAACTGGACACGAACCGATCCGTTAGGTGGTCCCCAGGAAGGTCCCCAGAACGAGCAGCTGAGGAGGACGAGGAGGAGGAGGAGGAAGAGGAGGAGGAGGAGGAGGAGGAGGAGGAGGAGGAGCGGGAAACGCAGGAGGAGGTCAGACGTCATGGCGCGTGCCTTCACGGCTGATCCGGCTGGCCCGTCGGTCGCGGGCCTCCACCACGCCCCGAGCAGGCGCTATGCCTAGGTCGGGCATGTCCCCCTACAGGGGGGATTGGGAGCGAAAAGTAAGGAATACCTCAAGAATCCTCCACCGTGGTCAAAAACATCGTCCCCAAACAATTTTTTACTATTTTTGAATATCAAATACCTCCAGAATCCTCCAACGAACGAAAATTACCCTGTGACGTACCCAACCCATTTGTATCATGGGAAACGAGGAGTTGGCCGAAACTTGCACGGACCATCAAATTGCAGGATCCGTTGTTTGATATGTAAACTACTTGGGACACGCGCCAATGGCATGATGCGCAGGAGACCATACAAGAGCGAGGGGCGACAACTACAGGCTCGAAGAAGACATGGGGAGTCGGGAACGAAGAGCAGGAGACAGACGTGCGGGAAACCCACTGTGCTGGGCCCCTCAGCAGCCCTCGAAATTGGCGACAGTTTCACAGATCGCAGCCCCCCAAGGATGGCGAGGTCTAGTATGAGTCTGCGGTGAGCACACACTGCGCTGGGCCCTTCAGCATCCCTCGAAAGGGGCGACAGTTTCACAGATCGCAGCCCCCCAAGGATGGCGAGGTCTAGTCTGAGTCTGCGGTGAGTACCCACTGTACTGGGCCCCTCAACAGCCCTCGAAAGTGGCGACAGTTTCACAGATCGCAGCCCCCCAGGGATGGCGAGGTCCCATTTGAATCTGCGGTGAGTACCCACTGTGCTGGGCCCCTCAGCAGCCCTCGAAAGTGGCGACAGTTTCACAGATCGCAGCCCCCCAGGGATTGCGAGGTCCCATGTGAATCCGCCGTGGGTACCCACTGTGCTGGGCCCCTCAGCAGCCCTCGAAAGTGGCGACAGTTTCACAGATCGCAGCCCCCCAGGGATGGCGAGGTCTCATTTGAGTCTGCGGTGAGTACCCACTGTGCTGGGCCCCTTCAGCAGCCTTCGAAAGTGGCGACAGTTTCAAAGATCGCAGCCCCCAGCAGCCTTCGAAGCGCAGCGACGAGCAGCCCTCGAAAGTGGCGACAGTTTAACAGATCGCAGCCCCCCACGGATGGCGAGTTCTAATTTGAATCCGCCGTGGGTACCCACTGTGCTGGGCCCCTCAGCAGCCCTCGAAAGTGGCGGCAGTTTCACAGATCGCAGCCCCCCTCAGGGATGGCGAGGTCTGATTCGAGTCGCCGTGGGTACCCACTTTGCTTGGCCCCCCAGCAGCCCTCGAAAGTGGCGACAGTTTCACAAATCGCAGCCCCCCAGGGATGGCGAGGTCCCATTTGAATCCGCCGTGGGTGCCCACTGTGCTGGGCCCCCCAGCAGCCCTCGAAAGTGGCGACAGTTTCACAGATCGCAGCCCCCCAGGGATGGCGAGGTCCCATTTGAATCCGACGCCCACTGTGCTGGCCAGCAGCCCTCGAAAGTGGCGACAGTTTCACAGATCGCAGCCCCCCAGGGATGGCGAGGTCCCATTTGAATCCGCCGTGAGTACCCACTGTGCTGGGCCCCCCAGCAGCCCTCGAAAGTGGCGACAGTTTCACAGATCGCAGCCCCCCAGGGATGGCGAGGTCCCATTTGAGTCTGCCGTGGGTACCCACTGTGCTGGGCCCCCCGATCAGCCCTCGAAAGTGGCGACAGTTTCACAAATCGCAGCCCCCCAGGGATGGCCAGGTCCCATGTGAATCCGCTGTGGGTACCCACTGTGCTGGGCCCGCCAGCAGGCCTCGAAAGTGGCGACCGTTTCACAGATCGCAGCCCCCCAGGGATGGCGAGGTCCCATTTGAGTCTGCCGTGGGTACCCACTGTGCTGGGCCCCCCAGCAGCCCTCGAAAGTGGCGACAGTTTCACAGATCGCAGCCCCCCAGGGGTGGCGAGGTGCCACTTGAATCTGCCGTGGGTACCCACTGTGCTGGGCCCCCCCAGCAGGCCTCGAAAGTGGCGACAGTTTCACAGATCGCAGCCCCCCAGGCAGGGGGGAAGAGAGGGACGGGAGGCGGGAAGGAAGGAAGGAGACGCGCGAGCAGTGCTCTATTCAAAACGAGAACCCAACGCAGGAGGGTTGGGAAATAAAGAATACTTCAAAAATCCCCCAACGTGGTCAAAGCATCGTCCCCCATCTATTTTTGACTATTTTTGAATATTCCTCCTGTAGAGGGACAGGCCCGACCTAACGCTATGCGCCCCTCGGGCGCGGGGCGCCAACCTGGCGAGGTGGACCCCAAGTCGACGGGCGGCACCCCCCCCCGCCTTCACGCTTGCACTCGGAGGGCCCAAGGAGAGCCCGTAAGATTAGGTCGGGCACGTCCTCCTGCATAAGGGATTTGGGGCGAAAAACTAAACATACGCCAACAATGCCCCAAAATAGTTCAACAATCCGCCGATCCGGCGTGTGAAGTATACAAGGAGCCTCAGCCAGAGCTTCAGCTCTGAGCCTAAGCATGAACTTCAGCTCTGCTTGGGGGGGGTCGCCGGGGTGGCTCTGCCGGGGAAGGGGAGGAGGGAGGGGAGGGGGTCCTCCATATGGCGTTTTCTTAATGATTTGCGCACCCCCAAGATGTTTCGGGGTGTACCAAGGACCCCTCCCCCCGGACTCTCCCCTTGGAACCCTCCCCGAACCCCCTTCCCAGAGAAGGGGGGAGGGGGGGGGGTGTCGATCCCCCATCTGGCGTTTTCTTAATGATTTGCGCATCCCCAACATGTTTCGGGAGGTCCCAGGGACCCCCCTCAGATCTAGCCGCTACCGCCCCCAGGACCCTCCCCTCGGAACCCTCCCCGGACCCCCTTCGGGACCGCTCCAAGCACCCCCCCAGAGGGCACGTCAGCTCCAAAAAGCGTCCCCGACGACTCCAAGAGCGCCCTCCTCCCAAACAGCGACCCAACGATCACCGAATCCGGAGCCCCCCGGATCGGCGGCACTGGCCGGAGGTCATTACAATAATCAAAAAATAGTTTCCTGACTATTTGTGGAGTATATCTCCTGTAGAGGGACAGGCCCGACTTGACGCTAAGAAGGGGAACTCGCAGGGAGCCAGGGAGCCCAGGAGCTCACAAGTTGACCCCCAAACATAGAAAAGGAAAGGGTACCCATACCGCTACCCTTCGCCCATTTTCCCCCTTCTCCGCCTCCTGGGCGGCCCTCCGGAAGCTCACAAGCTGACCCCCAGTCAAAAAAAGAAAAGGTATCCATACCGCTACCATTCGCCCGTTTTCCCCTTTCTCAGCCTCCTGGGCGGCCCTCGTCGCCACCGCTGGATTCGCATCGAAATCCTTGTCAGAACGCACCATGGAGAGGTCCGGGGAGTAGCGGTATCGGTACCTTTTCCGCACTCGTTCCACATGTGAGGGGAGCATCCGCGCGGAGTGAATCCTCAGGCCGCCAGTCCCCACCCTGAAGGCCTCGCGCGGCAACCTGAGGCCCAATTCGCGTCGGATCTGCGTCGGATTCACGCCGGGTTTACGTTAGGATTCGCATCGGCTTTACGCCGGAACGTCGGAACCTCGCCGCGCGAACGGTGTCCCAGATCTGACGGGGCGGACGTGGGGACCAGAGGATGCAGCAAACTCTGCGCCGCGCGAGGCCTCCAGGATGCTCCCCATAGCAAGTGCAGATGCTGATCGGGGCTCGATCCAAACAGTGCTCGTCGTTCTTGTTTGCGCTCGGAGGCCGCATCCCTTCCGCGCCCGCCCGTTCCCAGCTGGTCAGCCGCCGAGCGGCGAGGGGTCTCGCGCGCTGGCGGCTCCTGGGAGGGGGGCAGACAAGACGTCGCAATGAAGCTTCGAATCGATGAGCTCGCGTACACCCCTTCTCAGAGTTGAGAGCATGCCAGGCCAAAAAACATACTTCACTCCAAGCGCTTGCTGAAACTGCAGTCCAGGTCCGCCTACACAAACGTTCTACGAAGAAAAGAACTCCAAGAAAACGTCCATGGCCCAGTACAGAAGCTTGATTTATTGAGCGAGATCCAGTGTCTACGAACGTTGACGCGTTTTCTGAATATGTCTGATGGGTGTAATCGAAAGCGCTCTGCGCACTGCTTCGGCAGCCAGACCTCGCTCGCAGACGCGGGTGGCCCGCCGGGAATGAGGGAGGGGTGGGGCGGATCGAGATTTCTGGTCGCTCTCTTATCGGCCTCTAGGGGCCTCGGGAAGCTTCCAGATACCTCTAGAGGAGGAGGCGGAGGAGGAAGAGGAAGAGGGAGGAGGAGAAGTCGGAGGAACAGGGAACGATGACGAGGGAAGGACGAGGACGAGGAGGGAATGGCGAGAGCAAGGGGGAGAGCGGGGGCGGAGGGCGGAGGAGGAAAGGCCCACCTGCGGCGACACGGGGTCCCGCGCGCCCGCAGCACTCGGCCCAAGCAGCGTTGACCTCGTGCGCCAGTCTCCGTGCGACCTCGGCGGCGTTGCAGGGCGCGCGGGCGAGAGGGACACACGCCACAAGCCTACGTCCTGCATGCACGCGGGAGGGATGATCAGCAGGAGGAGGACCAGTGCAAACCCAAGACTCATCAACTATGTTGGAATGAACCCTCGCGGGAGCAGGAGGCGGCGCGCCTCGCGCCTCTCCGCGGACGGTGCCGCGCGGGGGGGGGGGGGGCAGGCGCAGACGGCCGCGGGCAATGGGGCGGCGGCGCGGGAGCAAGGAGAGGGGGAGAACGATTGGGAGGGGGAGGAGGGGGATGAGGAGAAGGAGGAGGAGGAGGAGGACGAGGAGGAGGAAGAGGAGGGCTGATCAGCGGGAGGGATGATCAGCAGGAGGAGAAGGAAGAGGAGGAGAAGGCACAGCGTGGGGGCAGAAGGATGGGGGGAGTAGGAGGAGTAGGAGGAGGAGGACGAGGATGAGGAGGAGGAGAAGGAAGAGGAGGAGAAGGCACAGCGCGTGGGCAGAAGGATGGGGGGAGTAGGAGGAGTAGGACGAGGAGAAGGAGGAAGAGGAGGAGGAGGATGAGCAGGAGGAGGAGGAGGAGGAGGAAGAGAGGAGGAGGAGGAGGAGGAGGAGGAGGAGGAGGAGGAGGAGGAGGAGAGGAGGAGGAGCAGGAGGAGGAGGAGGGGAGGAGGAGGAGAACGAGGAGGAGGAGGAGGAGGAGGAGGAGGAGGAGGAGGAGGAGGCGGAGGAGGAGGAGGAGGAGGAGGAGGAGGAGGAGGAGGAGGAGGAGGAGAGAGGAGGAGGACGAGGAAGGAGGAGGAGGAGGAGGAGGAGCAGGAGGAGGAGGAGGAGCAGCAGGAGGAGGAGGAGGAGGAGGAGGAGAAGAGATGAACGAGGAGAGAAGGGAGAGAGGAGAGAGGCAAGCCAGGTGCTCTCGCGCCACATCGGGCATCCTATCCCTCACTCCAATCCATCCCCAATGCGATGATGTTGTGTCACAGCAGACATGGGACCCCAATACCCCAGCAGAGCACCCGGATAGCAGAGAAAAGGTGAGCTGTGGGACATGTGATGGGGAGAGGGAGGAGGGGAGGACGATCGCGAGCAGAACAAGGAAGAAAATATTATTGACAGACTGACTGACTGACTGACGGACGCGCCCCTAGGCCAGCGGGATCCTAACAGGAGACTGCAGTCACATTCAAACAAATGGCCTGTGCGCCCGTTGTCGGACACGGGCAATGACTAGCAACAACACTTCTTTCACCAGACCCCAGAAGGTGTGAGGGTCACGGGTGGCCACAGGAATCAAGAAGATGAGAAGGACGAGAAGGATGAAGAGGAGGACAGGAAGGACGAGCAACAGGGCGAAGGGGACACGGAGGAGGAGGAGGGGTGGAGGGCGTTTATGAAAAAAGAAAAGACGAGCGTAGAGGAGAAGGAAGAGGAGGAGACGAGTGGAGCAGAATAAAGAAAATGCTGATGAAGAGGGGGGGAACCGAGTCCATCGCAGGATCCAGACGAGCTGCTTGCACGGGCTAGGCCAACGACGAAACCTCACTGGTTGGCCGGTTGAACTCATTCACAATGATGTGGTTGGGCGACAAATGTAAGCATGAAGGCGATGTGCTCGCATGCGAAGGTCTTCCTGTCTGATAGCCTGTCCACATGCAGGCGGAAGGCGGCAGACCCTTGCGTTGTGTCCACCCACTACCCCATGTCAACGAGCATCCTCAACATTTATTGATGTTAGCCGACGTTGCCATTCGTCCACGTCGTCGCGGTACAGACAGACCTAGGCCAGAAGAACACCCCTCAAGAACATGAGACCCTCCGCTGGCCAAAACAGACAGAGCATCTAAGGGCATCCTGACCAGGGTGCACAAGAACATCCAACAAACACGAAGAACACGAGGGTACCCTCCCCGAACCGACCTCGATCTTATACCTCGGTCCGGCTGTATGCTGTTTCCACCGACGATCGATCTAAGGCGTTCGGGAGAAGTAGAATCATGAAGTAGGATGGTGGTCCAGCTGCACTGGGTTCTGGCACGCCCAAGTGTAGCCGGCGCGCACGCAAGAAAGCTGGCGAGTACCAAAGCGACTGAGGAAAGCGCCTCAAGCAGAATGAACGGCGCTCGAACTACACATCGGTCATTTCTAATCGTGTTCATTTCTAACTGTACTCGTTTCCAACTGTTCCTGGCCCCCCAGTGGCCAGGAAGAGGCCCAGGACAGAGCGATTAGAAATCAACGGATCTTGGCCCCCCAAAAATCAAACAACTCTCGAATAATGAGAAATGAACCATGTGTACAAGACGCACTGGTTTCTCTCAACTTCCTCATTCTCCTCCCTCTCCTCTTCCATTTCCTCCTCCTTCCCCGAGAGGCCGCAAAGAGGCCCCCAAGAGGCCCCAAAGAGCGCTCCATGGGGGCCGGCGGAATGAGCGAAGCGATTAAATGAGCAATGTGTGAGGAAGGCGCCTCAAGCAGAATGGAAGGCGCTCGAACTGCGCCTCTGGCACGGTGGGGTTATGAGGGCCCCAGTGGAAGCGGGCCCCGGACGCCAGGGCCTCCCCTCGGGCCAGTGGCAGATTCAGGCGGGGGGGCCCTGAATTTAGGTCGGGCATGTCCCCCTGCAGGGGGATTTGGCGCGAGAAATAATAGAGACCCAAACACTACCCCCCACATGGGCCAAGATAGTCAAAGCATCGTCCCCAGACTATTTTTTGACTGTCTTTGAATATCCCTACGGTTGAGGGACACGCCCGGCCTAACCCCAAATGATGGGGGGGGGGGGGGCCGAGCAAAAGGAGCCCCAAAGGAGACCCTCTGGGGCCCCTTTTGGGGGCCCCTGCTCGCTCCAAGAGGGGCCCCAGGGGGCCCCCTTCAGGGCCGTTGTTGCTTTCTCCCCCCTCCCCCCCTTGAGTTGAGGCCTCCCAGATTTAGGTCGGGCCTGTCCCCCTACAGGGGGATTTCGGACGAAAAATAAAGAATACTCAAACAACATTCAAAGGATGCCCAAACATACTCAAAAAACAGTCCCCAGACTATTTGTTTTACTATTTTTGGGTATTCCCCCTGTCGAGGGACAGGCCCGACTTAATCCTAGATGGGGTCGGAGTTGGATGGGGTCGGAGGATCGCGCCGCATCGACGGTGCATCGCCGATGCATCGTCGAAGCATCGCCGATGCATCGTCGAAGCATCGCCGACGTCGGCGACGCATCGGCGACGTCGGCGTGGAGAAAATCGGGCTCCGCATCGAGTCGCATCGGCGATTCGGCGCAATCCTCCGACCCTATCTGCTCCGACCCCATCTAGAAGGCCTAGGCCTAGGTCGGGCCTGTCCCCCTGCAGGCAGATCTTGGAGGAAGAATTGCAACTATCCCCCCCCAAAAAAACACGAAATATAGCCAAACACATGCAACAACTCGTCCCCTGACTTTTTTGGCTCGACTATCTTTGAAGATCCCCCCTGCGGAGGGACAGGCCCGACTTCAGCCCATCGGGAGCGGCCAAGAGGGGGGTGTCCAAGAGGGGGGGATGCAAATCATGACCGGCGGCATGTGCGCGGCCCAGCGGGGGGGCCAGGGACGTAATGAAATAAGAAGGGGCGCCATGAAATCTGGGGAGGTATCATGGCCCCCGCCATGATATCCCCCCCCCCCCTAGTCATATCACCCCCCTCTGTTCCGCCCCCGAGCCCAGGTTGAGGCCACCCCGCGCCCGACGCCCCCCCACCCCCGGGCCCCGGGGGCCCCGCCCTCTCGCTTCGCGAGGCCTGCGCTCTCGGGGCCCCCTGGCTGCCCGGGAGAGGGCCCCCCCCCTCTCTTCGGGAGCGGCCACGAGGAGGGCGTCCAAGGGAGGCGGGGGGGTGCAACTCATGACCGGCAGCACGTGCGCGGCCCAGCGGGGGGGCCAGGGACGTCCTGGAATCAGAAGAGGCGCCATGAGATCTGAGGAGGTATCATGGCCCCCGCCATGATATCCACCCCCCCCCTAGTCATATCACCCCCCTCTTTGCCGCCTCCTGGCCTCTCTCCTCCGGCACCTCCCTGGCAGGGCTCGGGCCAAGCAGTGCTTCTCGTTTTCGTTGTGGTTTCGTCGTCCTTCTCCGCTCCGTCTTCGCAATGCCTCTGCTGCAGCCTTGGAGCAGAGCGAGAAGGGTTCAGGAAATACATCGCCAGAGCACTGTTCAGCTCGCGCCCTGCTCTCTCTCGCTCCGGGGCGAACGCGCCCCAAGGACACCGCCACGCACTCTCGACGAGCACGCTCAGCGGGGCGCCCAGGCACTGCGGTTTCTGTGGCAACTCCAGGGGGCCTCCCCATGCCTTGTTACAGGCTCCTGCGAGTCAGCGCTGACGACGCTAGTCGACGCTACATCGACGCGAATCGGCACTAGACCAGCGTGTTGTCATCGATTATCTGACGCTAGCGCACGCGAATGCACTCAAAAGGTGGAGTGTCGAGGACGTGTGTGGGGGCCTCTTGGATGGGGGTTCGAGTAGATGGGGTCGGAGTTAGATCGGGTCGGAGGATCGCGCCGCATCGCTGATGCATCGCCGATGCTTCGACGACGCCGGCGATGCACCGGCGCCGTCGGCGTGGAGAAAAGCGGGCTCCAGATCGAGCCGCATCGCCGATGCAACGGCAATGCGGCGCAATCCTCCGACCCCATCCACTCGGACCCGACCTGAGAGGCCTAGAGTACGAGGCTCCCATGAGTTGCTACCGAAAGCGGCACTCATGTGCCGCTCTGCCGCTCAGCTCAGCTCGCACCGCGCGAGGCAGCTCCCTGGGGCCTCGCCGAGGAAGACCAGGGGCCAGCTCTGGCGATCAGATGTGCGGTGGGCCATTCCGCCTGGGATAGCCCCAAATACCACGAAGCCCCGTCCTCGCCATCGCTCGGACGTCCATTCCGCGTGCATTTGTCGACGTCGTGCTTGTATTCGTCCCCGAGATGGTCCGATATGCTCATCGATGGCCCTCGCAGAGGAAAACATGCACACGTCCGAGCGATGCCAAGCGTCTCTATCAATAGAATGTTGTGACCCGAACTGTGAACGAAAAGCTGCCCGAGTGTGACCGAAACGGGCGCCCAAATTTGTCTGAACGCGTCCGGATCGGTACCATCACCACCACGGGGAAAAGCCAGGGAAGCTCCCCATGGCGGTGCCCCCCCTTGTTCGCGGCGTCCCGCTCAAGAGATCTCCGACCTTCAAGCTTGGAAGACGATATGTGCGGTCAGAGGAGCAACACAACATACACATTAGCGCTCGCAGGTCCGTGCGGATTTCATGTCGGCGCTGGACCCCCCCCTCCCTTGCGGCGCCTCCAGCGCCGCCTTGGAGCGGTTAGCGCGTCAGAAATCCGCGCGGACCTCCAAAAGTTTAGGCTTATACCGCTTTGGCTATGGAAGGGCGGCCCAATATGCTTTAAGATAGCGCGACCATGTCCCAAGACGTCCAAGACGGCCCTACAGATTTCCGAGACGTCCCAAGGAGGAACCGGAACTGGGGATGGCCAAAGGCCGAAATCGAATAGAAACGCCAGGATTGAAAACATCGTATTGTCGGAGACGCCATGGATTGTCCAAAAACCCCTCGCGCCAGCCCAGGGAACTGGGGCGGCGAGCTCCTGGGAGCAGCTGGAGAGGTTCCGTGCCCAGGCGAGGATACCTGGCTGGCCGGCTCTGGAGACCCTGGGTGCAGAGGAGGTCCTATTCTGGCTTCCAGGGGCCTCCCAGGATGTGGACCCAGAGCGCCACTAAAAACTTACCCCATCCTTCTCCTGAAGAGTGGGGCAGACAGGAAAAGAGAGGGAAAGAGAGACGAGTCCTTATCCTGCTGGCTCCTAGCTGCACCAAGGAAATAAGGAGGTGGATCAAACTAGAGCGAGAGAGAATATGTTGGAAAACGGGGAGGAGGACAACGACGCCGAAAACAGATCCTCTTCCTCTTTCTGTTCCTCGACCCTCTCGTGTTTCGACCCCGCCATGATTCCTCATGCGAATTTCGCCTAGGCCTGCTATCGCCGCGAGGCATTCATATTATCAAGACCGCAGCGGAGAAACAAAACAAAACCAATATAAAGCATGAGCACATCCTCTGTGGAACAACGCGCTGTATGCAAACAACCTCCTGACAATGGGAAACACATGAACAGCATCGGGAACACAACAAAGAATTAGCTGGCACAAATGAACTACAGTAGCGTTGTCGAATCCCTCCTATGGAAGCCCAGCACATGCCTTACTCATGGGAGGTACCACGCAAAATGAATCGCACACGCAGTCTGCATCACGCGCGTCCACATAGAACATACTGCTCGCAGACGGTCAACACTTGACATAATGATGCTTGGTAAGGATGCAAGCCCTTTCAGATCCCCAGTTCGAATTTTCTAAGCTGTGAGGGGCCAACATTTCGACCTAACGGACTCAAGGATCGGCCGAACAGCCAAGGATGCAAGGGTGACCTTGGAAAGATACTCGTCCATACCATGAGCTTTGACTGCAAATGCACATGGCAAGCACGTGGCGGCGATGAGGAGGTCACTCCGAAATGAGAGGCTGGCCTGACTGATCGGAGAGCACAAATGTAGAAGACCTCAGAGACCCCCTGCTGACCCAATCTGATCCATGGCCTGATGCTGATCCTGACATGGTACTAACTAGCGTGTCTCAAATCGAATTGCAGACTCTTGCGCACTCGATGTGCAAGATATGAAGTGCAAGTAATTTCATACATCATATGCGCAATGCGATCTACGTCTGGCACGCTATGTGGTGAAAGTTATGGTCAGCAAGCTGTTACGTGGTGCCATCAAAGTGGTGCAAGCCATGTGGTGCGAGCTACGTGGTGCACATTATTGTGTGAGAACCTTGTAATGCAAGTTATGTGGATCAGTCTATGTGGCGCAAGATATGCGAAGCAATGTTTCGATGCATTCTCCAAGAGAGGTGGTGCACGCCATGCGTTGCAAGCTTTGTGACGTCAAGTACGTCATGCAATCTTCAGTATGGATAAGCTGGGTGTTGTGCACTACGTGATGCGCCCAACGCCGGGGCACCCGAGAGACGCCCACGGGCGGCCGACAACGGGGCACCGGGCGAACCCTCAGCACGGCCATCCCACGCAGGGCGCGCCTACGAGGCGCCTACGGGCGGCCACCAGCTGGGCACCAGGCGGAACCCGAGCACGCCCTTCCAACTTTTGAGACAGGCAGTCGAAGGGCCCCTCAGTACAAATACAGTCGAGGCGTTGACTTAAGGAACCCTAAATAAGGAACAAGGCCCTTTTCTTTCATGAGTTAACCTTCGACTTCCCGTCGAAAATTTGAGGGAAACCTTGGGCCAGGTGTAGAACAATTAAGGAACACCGAGCCCCTCCCCAACGAGAAGGGTTCCTTCTTCAGCGCCCCGACTGTACTGCTTGGGGACTGCTCTACGAAAGCACGGCCTGATACGTGCTGATCCTGGACCTTCCAGCTCAACCCATGCTACCGCGCGGGAAACCCCGCTGATCGGGAGCCCGATCGAACGCGCGGAGGCCGAACGATCACCGGATCGGCCAGACCAGCGGCCTGATCGAGCCATGATCGACGGATCACGGTGTTCTAAGGGTTAGACCATTGAGAGAAGGTGGTGCTCATTGGTTGACTAAGTAACCGAAGGACGTTTTTAGGAGCAGGCGACACCTGAGCGGGTCCGACTCCGTGTCTGTTCAGTTTCTATCACTCACACGCCGCAGTGCCATCATCCTCATTAAGTGCTCTTCCTCCTCCTTTTCTGCATTTGCGTCCTCCTGCTTCTTACTCTTCCTATCATCCTCCTATTCCTCCTCCCTCATCTCTCCTCCTCCCACCTTCTCCCTCCGCCTCCTTCTCCTCATCTGATGCCTGTGCTCCATCGAGAGCGGGTCTTTCCCCTCATGATCCACACTCCCTCTCTGCTCCCTTTCACAAGGAAACAGTTGTCGCCACGGTGCTTGAGACCACCGTAGCAAAGGCACGCAACGAGCACTGTGGTAACGTAGCCGACAAGGAGGCAGGCGGAGGATCGTGGAACATCATCATCATCATCATCAGCAGCATAATCACCATCGTAATAATCAGCATCATCGTTATCATTGACATGACCATCGGCATCGCTATCGCCGTCTCCATCACCATCGTCACTACCACCATAGTATCCATTAGCACGACCACCACCATCATCATCATCATCATCATCATCATCAGCATCAGCATCAGCATCCTCACCTTCGTCTTCATCTTCATGAACATCCACATCATGATCGTCATCGTTATCGTCATCAGCGCCATCATCATCTGCACCGTCGCCACCGCACACATCATCTTCGACAACGGCAACACCATAATCACGACCATCACAATCACCATCACCAACACCATCACCAACACCATCACCATCGCCACCACCAGCACATCAGCATCATCATCATCACCATCACCACCAGCATTATCATCAGCAGCAGCATCCTCTTTGGATAATGAAAACGCTGAACGTCACGAAATGTGAAGTGTCGTGATCTCCATGCCTTTCCCCGTACTCTTTACTGGGCTCGGCGCCCAGGCATGTCGTCTTGCCACCGAAGTCCATGAGGTTTGGCCCCCAAGCGGGGTACCGAACATGACACCTCCAGGTATGGATGCGTGTCCCTCCGAGCCCAGGTCGACCTCACCAGCGCCAGGGGAACCAGTCAAATGGTGGGCGCTCATGTGAGCGCTGGTCACGTGCACAAGTGATGCAAACGTTTAGAAATAATGTGCGCGGCATTAAAGCGAAAACCACATTTTGAAAACCAACTGCCCTAAATCCGTGAAGCTCTTGCAAAGTTTTAGAAAGATCGCGCGCGGCGCCAAGGCGAGAGGTGGATCTTGAAAACGGGCCGCCCTCCACTCCATCCGCGAAACTCTTGCAAACTTTTGCAACGAGTGCACGCGCGCATAAACTTGAACACTACATTTTGCAAACGGCCCGCCCTCCATCCGTGAAGCTGTTGCAAATTCCAAGCGTCAGGATCATACACTGTGGGGATATCTCAAGCGACACGCCCAGCCCGCCCTTTCGACCCGCCTCGGGGTGCGACAGGGAGGAGTTGAGGAGATATCTATAAGGAACCGGAGTGGAAAAGGGGAGGAGGACAAGGAGGGGAAAGAGGAGGAGCAAGAGTGAGGAGGTAAGATCAGAGCGAGCGTGTTTCACGGGTGCTTGCCTTGGGAACATTCGGCGGCGCGTTTCGAGCCGGGGGGTGGGCCCCCCCCCTATACTCGGCGCCGTCGATCAGAACTAGGAGACTCCCCTCCCCCCTACCCGCCCCCCTCTCCCGAACCCCCTCCCCACCCCTCCCAAGAAAGGGGGGGGGGTTCACCCCCCCCCCTGCGCCGAAGCCGGCGCCGGCGCTGGCGGCGGCCAGCAGCGCCGACGGCGGGGACGCAGCAACGATGACCAGAGAAGGCTCAGGGAGGGGGGGAGGGTATCAAACCCCCCCCCTCCCCTGCGCCGGCGCCAGCGCCGGCGCTGGCGGCGGCCAGCGGCCAGCAGCGCCGACGGCGGGGACGCGGCAACGATGACCAGAGAGGGCCAAGAGGCCGCAGAGGGGAAACAGAAAGCGCCATATCGAGCCCTCGCCCCCCAAAGCCCTCGCCCCCCAAAGGTCCAGGAGGCTTCATAAATGCTCCTCAGACTCCGCCGAGACCCCTCTGACAAGACCTCAGGAGGCCTCCATTAAACTTTGGCCCGAAGCCAAAACACGGTGGCGGGAAGATCCGAAGGCCACACCACCACCACCACAAACCACCACACCACCACCACCACCACCACAACCACCACCACCAACACCACAACCACCACCATGACCGCAAACCACTAAACCACCACCAACACCAAAACGCCACCGCCACCACCACAAACCACCACAACCAACTATAACCACCACCACAACCACCACAACAAACTACCACACCACCAACACCACCATCACCACCACCGCCACCACCACCACCACCAAAACCCATCACCACCACCACCGCCACACACCACCACACCACCACACCACCACCACCACCACTACCACCACCACCACCACTACTACCACCCAGCACCCACCACTACCACAAGCACCATCACCAGCAGCAGCACCACCACCACCAACACCACAGCCTTCCATTACCACCACCACCACGACAAACAACCACGCCACCACCACCACCACCGCCACTACCACTACCACCACCACCACCACCACCCATCATCTCAACACACAACCACCACAAACAACCACACAACCACCACCACCACAGCCACCACCACCACCACAAAAACCACAACAACCCACCACCACCACCACAACAACCACCACAACAATCTACCACACCACCACCACACCACAACCGCCACAACCACCGCCACCACCACTAGCAGCACAACCCACCACCGCCACCACCACAAATCACCACGCCACCACCACCGTCAACCGCCACCCAACCACCACCACCAACACCACCACCATCACCGCCTCAACCACCACCTCACCACCAGAACAAAATACCACCGCTACCACCACAATCCACCACACCACCACCACAACCACAGCCACCACCACCAACACCACAACCACAACCACAACCCACCAACACCACAATCGCCGCCACAACCACCACGACCACAAACCACCATACCACAGCCTCCGCCATCACCGCCACCACCACCACCACAACCCACCACCAACACCACCACAAACCACCACACCACCACCAACAACATCACCACTGCCACTGCCATCCACCACCACAATAACCATCATAACAACAAACCACCACACCACCACCACAACCACCACCACACCACCACGACCTACACCACAAGCCACCACCACCACAACCACTACCACTACCACAACCACCACAAAAAAAACACCACACCACCACCGCCACAACAGCCACCACCACAACCCACCACCACCACAACTACCAGCACCACCACCGGAAACCACACCACCACCACCACCACCACCACCACCACCACCACCACCACACCCACCACACTACCACCAGAAACCACACCACCACACTACCACCACCACCAGAAACCACACCACCACCACCATCACCACCACCACAACCCACCACCGCAGCCTGCCACCACAACCACCACAATAACCACCACCACCAACACCACCACCAGCAACCACCACACCACCACCACCAACACCACCACCACCACCGCCACAACCACCGCCACCAGCACCAGCACCACAGCCCACCACCACCACCTCAGAGAGGCCCCAAAACTTCCAAAGAGGCGCCCAGGATGCTTCACAAATGCCCTTCAGAGGCACCCGAGAGCCCCCAGACGAGAACCCAGGAGGCACCCATTAGGACTCTGACCCAAAACCACAGCACGGTGGCGGAGCGTCGTCGTCGTCGTCATCGTCGTCGCCGTCGTCCTCGTCGACGCTCCCTGCCGCCGCCGCCAGCCGCCGCAGGCGCCAGCGCCGGCCCAGAAAAAGAAAACGTCGTCTTCATCGACGCTCCCCGCCGCCGCCGCCAGCCGCCGCCGATGCCAGCGCCGGCCCGAGAACAGGGAGAGAGGAGGGGGGGCGGTCGAACCCCCCGCCGCCTCCGTCACGGGAGGGGGGGGGGGGTCGAAACCTCCCCCCCTTCCATCCAGAAGGGGGGGGGGTCTGGTGCCACCCCCCCCCCTCCAAGCGGCCACAGAAGGCGCTCTCGCTCTGAGGTCAGGACGCGCGGCGCTGCGTCTTCCACACGAGGATCCAGCACGCAGGAGGGTCGGGAACAAATCGCTACACCAGGGCGGAAAACATACATGTTTACCAAGCTCGCTTCTTGGTCGTCGCCATGTCCACGCCCGCCCAGGGGCCCCCTTAGACCGCCCCATGACGGCCCAAGGAACCCCCAAGAGGTGTTCACGACCGCCCCAGGGGGCTCCAGGACAGCCCCGGAGCCCCCACCACTGCCCCAACACGAGGAGGTCTCTCAAAGGCATTTCGCCCACGACGCAGGCGCGGTGGTGGGATGGGCCGCAGGCCACTAGGATATGTACTGCGTCTCATCGCATGTTGTGCCTGCCCACCTACTCACACGGGCTTCGCCCTGTGCGCGTCCTGATGGGCCTGGGTTGGTGGGCTGGACTCCCAGATCACAAACACGTGCTGCAGCACATGATTGGAGACTGGGAACATCGAATTTTCCTTACTGGGCGTGGAAATGTAGAGATCGTCTTGCCACTATGCGTAGTTTTTACTGCCCCCCCCGTGTGCACTGATGTTTTAGCTTTTCCAGCTCGAGTGGAGTGTTCCTCGTGCATCTCCCTTGTCTAATTGCTACTGATAGGAACCCCAGGTCAGAAGGGTCCAACCTCCAGTGCAAGATCTTTAAACCCGGCTGGGCACGAGAGCTCGCGTGCCTTGCAGGTAATTTGAACAGCTCACATCGGCAAGAGTTGCTAGTTCTGTTGCAAAATATGTGCTACGTCTCATCGCATGCGAAGCCTGCTCACCTGTCCAAACGAGTTTCGCACTGTGCACGTCCTGCTGGGCCCGGGTGCGCTGGACACTGGGATTACAAACACGTGCTACAACACATCGTCATAATCAGCAGCATCACCACCATCATCATCACCACCACCATCATCATCATCACCACCATCATCATCGTCGTCACCGCCACCACTATCACAATCATGATCATCATCACCATAATCATCATACTCATCATCAGCAGCATCATGCATCATTAGCAGCAGCAGCAGCGTCATCATCATCATCATCATCATCATCATCATCATCATCATCATCATCATCATCAGCATCGTCATCGTCATTCCCCTCCTCCTCCTTATCATCATCAGAATCGCCTCCATCGTCATCGTCATCGTCATCCGCATCATCAGCATCAGCATCACCATCCTCATGATCATCATCGTCGTCATCATCAGCATCATCGTCATCGTCATCCGCATCATCAACATCGTCATCATCACCACCACAATCATCATCAACATCCTCATCATCAGCATCTTCATCAGCAGCACCACTATCATCATCTTCATCAGCAGCAACATCGTCAGTATCAGCAGCATATTCATCACCATCGTCATCCTCATCATCATCGTCATCATCATCATCGTCATCATTATCAGCAGCATCATCTTTGTCATTAGCACCATCATCAGCATCACCATCAGCATCAGCATCATCGCCACCCTTCACCCCACCATAAACATCGTAGTCGTCATCATCCTGTCTCCCTTCATACGTCTCTCTCACTCCTCCTCCGTCCTTCTTTTCCTTCCTCTTCCCTCATCCCTCTTCCTCCTCCTCTTCCTCCTGCGCCCTCTCCTCCCTCCGCCTCCTCACCCACTCCGCTCTCTCCCTCTCACTCCTCCTCGATCTTCCACCGTCCTCCTCCGTCCACATCCTTCTGCTCCCTCCTCCATCCTCCTCCGTCCTTCTCCTCGTCGTCCTCGCTCAAATCGATCGCCTCCTCCTCCTCCTCCTCTTCCTCCTCCTCCTCCTCCTCCTCCTACTTCTCCGTCCTCTGTCCTCCCCGTCCTGCGTCCTCCGTCCTGCGTCCTGCGTCCTCCGTCCTCCGTCCTCCTCCTCCTCCTCCTCCTTCTCCTCCTCCCTCCGCCTCTCCCTCCGCCTCTCCCTCCGCCCAGCCTTCCTCCCCCCGCCCCCGCGCCCAAGGGGCATCCTCCGCGGCCGCCAACCCCCAATCCCTCTGGCGAGCCGAGCCCGGCGCGGGGGCACGAGGCGGAGACACCGGCCCGTCGCTCCAGGCCTTCCGGGGCCGGGGGCTCATGGGCGGCAGGGGCGGCGGCGACGGCGTTCGGCCGGCCACCTGGGCGCGGCGCGGCGCGGCGCGGCGCGCTCGCCCAGAGAGAGGAACCGGAACGGGACGGGGAGGGCCGAGGAGGCATCCAGAGGGGTCTCAGCAGGGCCCAAGAAGGGGGAGGCGACAAGGTGTTGGCAGCCTTTCCCCAAAGGATGCCTGGCCAAGTCCTCCAACATGCCCCCCCAAGAGCCGCCCAGAAACGCCCAAGAGGCCCCAAGAGGCCCTCCAGAGGCCTCAAAGAGGCCAAAGCCCAGAGGCTGTCGCCGTGCGGAGGGGTAGCGACGGGGGGGGTGGGCGAGCGAGAGGGAGCGGAAAGGTCCAATGCATCACAAGGCAAGTATCCGCTAGTGTAGCGCCCTCAAGCCCTTCGAGTCGACAATCGCGAATATTGTCAAACCGCTGTGGAGGGATGCCCCAAGAACGTGGCTCGGGGTCTCGACTATGAAAATGAAGTTTCGCGATGGAACCCTTACGGGGGCCTCGGGAGGCCTTCTTGGAGGCCCTGCGGGCCCTTCGGTGGGTCCTTTGGTCGTTGTGGCCCCTGTGGCGGCGCCCGACTCGGCCTTGCGTCAGGTGCACCACCTCGGTTGGTGGCCGGTTGCCGCTGATTGCTGCTCGTCCCGACGTGTCCGATCCGATCCGCCTCCTCCTCCTCGGTCCGCCCCTGCGCCGGTCGGCTGCGTCCCTCCATTTGCAGGTCTCTCATCCTCTCCCCCTCCCTGCGCCCTACTCTCACCCTCCGTGCACCCTCCAGCCTCCATCCCCTCCCCCCCTGACTCTCCCGCTCCCCGTCCGCCTACTCCTCCACCCCCAACCCCCTCCTCCTCCTCCTCCTCCTCCTCCTCCTCCTCCTCCTCCTCCTCCTCCTCCTCCTCCTCCTCCTCCTCCTCCTCCTGGGGCCCGCCCCCCAGCGCCCTCCCCCGTGGACACCCTTCCTCCCTCCTCCCCTGCGAGTCCCCCGAGAAGCCGAAAAACGGCATAAACCGAATGTCTCGGAGGTCCGCGCGAACCTCGGAGAAACTGTGTCTCTGCTGTTTGTTGTTTTCTGAGTCCCTCGAGCCCTTGGAAACCATCCTCCTCCACACCATCCACCTCCTCCTCCGCCTCCTCCTCCTCCTCCACCTCCTCCTCCACCACATCCACCACATCCTCCACCTCCTCCTCCTCCTCTTCCTCCTCCTCCTCCTCCGCCTTTTGGCCTCGCCCTGGCGCCCTCCCCCCCTTTCCCACGGTACACCCTGACCACCCCGCCTCCCCTGCTTCTCCCCTCTGTCCCCCTTCCCCATGTGCCCTCGCTGCTTAGGAGCGGCTCGGGCACGCGGACGCTGCGCGGGCGCGTGGGGTGGGAGCTGGGCGACCGGCGAGCCACCTCCGCCAGTCGAGAGGCTGCCGCCTGCGGCCGCGCGTTTCACGAGATAGTTGCACCGGCGAGCATCGTCGTTGTCATCGTCCTCCTCCTCTACCTCCTCCTCCTCCTCCTCCTCATCCTCCTCCTCTTCCTCCTCCTCCTCCTCCTCCTCCCTCCTCCTCCTCCTCCTCCTCCTCTTCCTCCTCCTCCTCCTCCTCCTCCACCTTCTCCCTGCTCCTGTCTGTTCGCATCCTCCGCACTCTCCTCGCTCTGATCGTCCTCTTCGTCCTCCTCTTCATCATCAGCAGCATCACCACCACAAGCAAAACCACCATCACCATCACCATCGCCATCACCACCACCATAATCGTCACCACTATCAGCATCATAACACTTAATCATCATCATCAGCATCATCAGCAGAATCATCGTCATCATCAGCAGCATCCGCATCATCATCATCATCATCATCATCATCATCATCATCATCATCATCATCATCATCATCATCATCATCATCATCATCATCATCATCATCATCATCATCATCATCATCATCATCATCATCATCATCATCATCATCATCATCATCATCATCATCATCATCATCATCATCATCATCATCATCATCATCATCATCATCATCATCATCATCATCATCATCATCATAATCAGTATCTTCATCATCATCAGCATCACCATCACCAGCACCAGCACCAGCATCATCAGCATCATAATTAGCATCAGCATCAGCCGCATCCTCATCCTCATCAGTATCAGCGTCATCACAAACATTATCATCATCTTGTCGTCCTCCTCATCATCATCATCATCATCATCATCATCATCATCATCATCATCATCATCATCATCATCATCATCCCCATCATCATCAGCAGCATCAGAATCGTCATCATCGTCGTCATCATCATCATCATCATTATCCTCTTCCTCCTCCTCCTCCTCCTCCTCATCCTCATCATCATCAGCATCAGCATCATCAGCATCATCAACAGCATCATCGTCATCATCATCATTGTCATCATCATCACCACCATCATCACCATCACCTTCACCATCATCCTCCTCCTCTTCCTGCTCCTCCTCCTCCTCCTCCTCCTCCTCCCCCTCCTCCTCCTGCTCGTCCTCTTTCTTCTCTTCCTCCTCCGCCTCCTCCTCTTGCTTCTGCTCTTCCTCCTCCTCCTCCTCTTCCTCCTCCGCCTCCTCAACCTCCTCCTCCTTCTCCTCTCCCTCTTCCTCTCCCTCTTCCTCCTTCCACTCCTCGGCTCTTTGGGACAAGCCCAGACTGAACGAGACTGCACCAGCTCTCGGGACCTCAACACCACACGCGGGGGGCCGCCGCACTCGAAGGGTGCCAGAAGCCTCGTTTCGCGCTGCGCTCGTCGCGGCCATCACCGCGACCTGCTGGTGCGCACGACCTCTGTTTTATTACGTCAAGCGCTACGGAGACCCAGAGATCCTCCGTATTGAAAACATCAAGACGGAGGTTTCTCGCCCTTTTCGGCCTCTAGGAGCCCTCGCCGGGCCCCAGGACATTCAAAAAACAACTAAGGATGAAAAACAGGTCCCGGGGGAGGGGGCGGGACCTCCAGGGATCCCGTATTGAAAAACATCATGATATCGGATCTCTGGGGCGGGACTGTGGGATGGTCATGTCTCGTC